CAGGGGGTTGTTGGAAGTAATTATCCCCAAAAGGCTGGCATTCCTGTAGAGTTTTGGGGTGAATGAAGACAGCTAGACAGGTGTTGAGATGTGTCAGTGTTGGGAAGATTCTGGAAAATGGAGCTACAGCCCCGGCAGGCTACCAGACATGCAGGGCATAACCTGGGAAGATGACCTTTGAGGAGGAATGAGAGATTCCCAGACACCAGGCTCCCTCCTCACACTGGGCAAGTCCTTTAATTCCCACACATATCTAGGCTTGAGAGTCACTGCTACCAGCACTGAGGAAGACTGAGAATAGACACCAGCTTCGGGTCTCTCAGGCAATGGACAGCCTGGGGGGCCAGTGCAGGCAATCTGGCTTCAGCAGCCGGCCCTAGACTACCACTCCACGGGCCCTCACTGAGACTCCCTTACTTCCCTTTCCTGGGGTTCTGCCAGCACTCCCTGGTCCCGGCTGTCTTCCCTGGCACTCAGCCAGCCCCAGCTGGTCTTTTTCCCCTCTTCCAGCCTGCTCCCCACCTGCTCCCTGGGGCCTGGCCATGGTAAGAGGCTTATCAAACATGTGTGGGGAACAGATAAGGCAGGGCCCCCCACAGGGCTTATCCAGCCCTGCCTTGCCAGCTGCTTGGAGTTGTGGGGAGCTGCCAGCAGATGGAGTCCCACCCACCTACACAACAGGCCACTATATCCCCCAACCCCCAGGTTTCATATCTCTCCTTGATGACATACCTATGATGTCATCATTTGTAGTGCCAGCATTGCTTGTCCCTTGTTCAAATCCAAGAGGATTACTCAGACAGAAGTTAGGAAAGTGGAATGAGACAGGAACCTCCCCAGGCAGCAGGTCAGCAGCTGGACTGGGAGTAGGGAGTAGTGTCACAGGACACCCCCCCCCTCAACCCCTGCCAGGGCAGATAACTGTTTTGGTGTTGGCTGTTCCACTTATAGATCCTCCTCTTCCTGTCTTCCCAATCAAGAGAGGCTCTGGGTCCAGCCCAAGCAGAAGCAGTGGGAGAAATCTGTCCCATCACAGGGCACCACTAGGCATCAGTCTCAGCTCTGAAGGCAGCCCCCCAGCAGGGAGACCAGTACCTGGTGGGGTACTGAGGGGAAGGGAGCCTTCCATCTCATCCCTTGGAACAGTGCTAAGGAGGAAGGGATCATTGGGATGGCTAGGCAGATGGACATAGCCATACAGGCTCTGACAGTCACACATATTAACTTACTGATATTACTCACAGCTGCACAGCAACACCATTGCATACCAACAGTCATGCATTCTCACAACCGTGCCTTGGCCACACATGGGCCCCAGATGGCCACATGCCAGACCAGAGCGATATTCCAACACAGATACACTGTCAACCACTCCACAGGGATTGGGGGTAAGCCTCTTCTTTCTTGTGGCTATAGTCCTGTAGAGTGATGAAATACCCAGCACACAGTAGATGCACAGGAATATTTGGTAAGTGGGTATTGAATTTCACAGATCCAGTGACTAGGGTGGGGTGGGGCCTGATGACAAGCCATCCTTCCTGCAATCCCTCTCCAGACACTAGGTGTGAACATAAGGGGAACCAAAACTTTTGCCAGCACACCAGCCCACTTCAGTCATGGTGACTCTTCATATCATACCAGTCACACAGGGCCACCCCTCCCCTTCTCTTCCACAGTGGACTAGGAAGGATATTAGTGCTCTGAAAGTTGGATATTAGGAATATTTGGTGGTATAGATGTTTGGAACCATGACCTTGGGAGCTGGGCACTGGGGGCCTGGGTACTGGAAACTCTGAGCTTTGAGTCCTTTGAGTGCTGGGAATGTTAACTTCTTTGGCATTGGGAAGCTCTGTTGAAGGTATTTAAGACTCTGAGAAACGATTGCCCCAGAGATTGGGATGCTACCTGGACAGGGCCAAAGTCAATGTTCCTGTCCCTATGCCTAATTTCACTTGGGGCCACTGAGGTCCAGCTTGGGTTGACTTGAGCAGGCAGGGCTGAGGGGTGACACAGGATCCCCAAAGGGGCACACAGAACCCCAGAGATAACATCTGGTACCTATCTAAACAGCTGCTCCACACTGGGTTAGGGCAGGGAAGGTGTTATGTACTTACTATAGGGCTCTGAGTTCAACAGGGGAAGACTCAGAGCAAAGCCAAGGCAGGGCCCTCCTAACAATGCTTCCTGGTCCCTGAGGCTGGGGCTCCAAGGAGGTGATCACTGGTCAGACCAGGTTCCAATTTTAAGCAAAAACCATCCCTACCCCCAATTTCTCAGCAGGGTACTCAACACTCTTCCATCAAGGTGCCTCCAAAAGTGGCTCATATCTGGTATTTTCCCTCTTCCTATACCTGAGCTGACGCTGAATGTCCTGACACAGAGGACTTAATCCTGCTGGCTGTTGATGACAGCCAGGCATTTAGCCAGCACTGGGGGATCTGATGTGGGAGCAGCCCTCCCAGGAAATAGCACTGTTAACTAGAGGTTCCTGAGACACGCCTCAGCCCGCAGTGGGTGGAGCCCAACTCCGCCTGCCCTCTTGCTGTCTGTCCCAGGACACAGGCTGTTAGGATCTGACCTCATCTGTCCTCCTGGCTATCCCCAGACCTGATCCCTCACACACAGAGAGGCATGGTACGAACTGGCTGTGTCTTCCTGTGGGCCAGCTTCCCAGGGCGGGGAACACGGGGATAGGCAAGAAGGTTATCCCAGCTCTGACCTGGGCTAGGCCCAGACCTGTCTCCCCTGGGACCTCATTCTGATTGGAAAAAAACAGCCACTTTAATTCTTGTCTCACGAAGACAACAGCTTTTCAAAGTAGACTCTCTCACACAAGCCTCTCCTCAAGACTCACTGTGAGCCATTGTGTGGCTGCCTGAAGCTTTTTTATGAATCAGGTGGGTACCACATACATATCCACTAATCTTTGTATACAAATATATTTTATGCTATGTCACTGTTAACCTAGCAAAAGTCTCATGGGTAGTGTCTCTAATTTCTCCAAATGCCACAAGGAAAATATCATCCCATATCCCCCCATCCCCCATGAGCTTATTTCCAGGGAAATCGCAAACTCTCTGATAGTGCTGAACTTGGGCACCCCCCTCCTTCTCCTCTTCAAATCTCTCCAGGCCCCGAGCACATCCTGGGGGTCTAGTTCTCAATATCCCTCACCTCCTTCTCTTCAAATAGAGTCCTTAGAGTAGGTAAGATGCTCCACTCTCCAAGTCATGAACATCATCAGAACCATCAGGCTTGGTAGCTAAAGAACTTGGGAGGTGGAGGCAGAGGCAGAAGAATTGCTGCCAGTTCGAGGCTGGCCAGGGCTACATGAGACGCTGTCTCAAGAAAGCATAAAAAATTAATTACAAACAAGTTTTTAGAACCCTCTCAAATGCGTTATAGGCTTATCTCACTCCTTTAAGGGGAAGGAGGCCTCTCCCCATCATGCTCCTCCTTGACCTCACTCTGCCTGGTAACTTCTCCCAACAGCCTTCAATCTGTCTGTCCAGAGAGGGAGTCCTTTTTGACAAACGAGAAAGGTAGCAGGGTGGGAACGATCAGAAACAATCTGTAGAGGAAGTTAACTCCTGTGGGAAAGATGAGAAGGGCTTGGGTGCCTTCTGCCTAGATCTAGGACTTGAGCACACACACAGCTACACAACTTGCTGCAGGGCCCAGACACTCTTTCAGGAATTTCTGCACAAGTGCAGTCAAGGGCCACAGATACCACAGATTGCTCAAGTAGAGCCATGTGTATGCTTCCACACTACCCTATACAAAAAACTGCCTGTAGTTACCTCATAGGAGGCTATAAACCTCAAACAGGCTGTATCTGCTGGGTCTGAGGACAAACAGAAAAGGGATGTGTCTTCTTAGGTCTGATCAAATCTCCAAAGATGGTAGAGAAGAGAATGGAACTAGCCTGGGGAAGGGCTGAGGATGAAGTGTGGCCTGAGAGAGCAGGCACTGCAGAAACTGTTGGGACTGGACACCTGTTGTCCTTTTCATTGATTATAGTAAAGTGGACTCTCTCCAGTTGAGCTTGTGTAACTTTGACATGGATGCACCTGCTTCTTTTGGGAAGCTGAGTGTCTCTAAACAAATAAAGCTAGTCTCCTGGCTAGACAACGATGAGGACTCAGGGTCCAGAGTGTGTAGGAGGGGTCTGTCTCTCCACCAGGGTCTTCCCTGAGCACACACCCTACACAGGCAGGGCGGCAGGGGCAACAACAGTTCCTGACAGTCAATACTAACTGGATGCTTTCCTGAAAAGTTGGTGGTTTGCTCAAGCTAAGTTAAAGTGGAGGCTCCATTCCAAATGCCAGGCACCCCTGTGAGCCTGGAGCAATGTGTTTCATGTAAGAATGTATTTCTTTGGCGCATCCTCTCCATTTTGCAGGGGAGGAAACTGAGGCTCGGCTCTGTACCTTTTGGAAAGGTTCCTTTGGGCCTGGAAGCCAGGTGCACTCCCCGACCTGAGGAAGTAGAAAGTCCAGGTTGGTGTTTGCAGCAGTCCCTGAGGCACCATCAGAAAGGAAGGGCTAACCAAATCCGTGCCTGAGGAGAGTTCCTGGAGAAAGGGCTCCTCAGCCCTCCAGTTCCAAACACTAGGTCCCAGGCCTTACCCAGCCAGCAGTGCCCACAGCCTCTAGCGGCGCTGCTCCAAAGGGATCGGAATTTGCTCTCGACTTCTCTCCAGGGGGAACGCAGGCGCAGAAGGCCAGGGGCCTGGCGGGCTAACTGCAGCCCCAGCCCCCCAAAGCGCCCCAGGCCTTTTGGCTTCGTTCCAAGCCTAGCCCGAAGGGGAGGACATCTGCTTCTTCCAAGCGCTGAAGGACACAGAGGCAAGGGGCGAAGAAGGGGACTCCCTCGCGGAGCGCCAACTCCCAGGGGTTCTTGGGGATCAATCATCTGAAAGCTGGAGCGACTTGTAATTTTATTCCCTGGTAGGAGGAGCCTGAGAAGTCGGCACGCGGGAGGCTATGGGACCAGGGCGGGGGAGGGCGGCCAGGGGAGCCGCTCTGGGAAGGGAGGGACTTGGCTAGGGCTCTCAAGCCTTCTTCACTCTCCAAACTTTCACCAAACTCTTGGCCCCCGCCTCCCCGAAACCAAAACACAACAAGCTCTGGAGGAGCGGAGAGCAGCGCGGCGGGGCGGGCGGACTCGTGGCGGTCACAGAACCTCGAGAGGCTGATGCAACTTTCCCTTTAAGAAAGCCACCTGGGCGCACCGCGGTGCGGACCCAGCACGCCCCGGCCGGGGGCTGCAGCATGGTAAGGGGGCTGGGGGAAGGGGCGCTGCGACCCGCACCTAGGTCTGTTCTGTTGAGGGGCTGGGCGATTTGGTGGCTCCGCGAGGCTGAGCCCCAGGACCAGCGTATGCGTGTGTGGATGCGTGTGCGGTATGTGGATGTGCTCGCGTATGCACGCGGGCATCTCTGGTAAGAGTGTGGGTGCTCGCACCGGGATGTGCGTCTCGCCGCAAAGGTCAGGGTAGGTGCGCGCGTCTGGGTGTCACCGCTGTCGCCAAGGAGCTGAAGCAGGCGGGAACGGGAGGGGTACACTCGGAGGGGGGTGCTGCCTGCCAACGCCGGCACGGTCGGGGGCGGCTGGCTCCCGGCTGTGCGGTAGCGCCGGAACCTAAGCGTGTCACGGTCCGTCTGGGGCTCCTGTGCATCCGCGCACCGGGGCCTGCGGGGACCGGGACCGCGGGCTTCTGCGCCCCGCGTGCGGGCTCTCGCCCCACCTCCTCTCCGGGCCGGCCGGCCTGGCTGCCTATCTGGCTGCCCCAGCCCGCGGCCTCCCTAATCTGCCCGCCCACTCGCCCGCCGGCTGCGGGTTCCCGCGCGCCTGTGGGTCCTGGGAAGCCGCGGGACGGACTCCCAGCGTCCTTCGGCTCTCTTTTGTCCCTGGCTCCATCGGCTCCAGCTTTCCGAAGGGACTGAGGGCGGGGAGCTCTTTTCGGGGGCTGACACCCGGGGGGAAAAATGCACACCCTGCCACCTTAGCCTACAATCTGGGAGCGCCTAGGGCGAGCGCTGGCGGCCACAGGTGAGGCCGGGAACCCCGCAGCCCCAGGGCGCCCATCCCTAGCCCGCATCCCGCAGCCACTCGGGCGGGAGCGGACGCCCAGGCCGGGGCGCGCCGGGAGGGGGCTCGCCCGTAGGGCCGGGAGGGGCCGTGGCCGGGCGGGGGCGGGGCAAGGGGGCGGGGACCTCAGCACCCCGGTACTTTTCCATGGCAGGGGCCGGGGGCGGGGCGTCCTCCTCCGAGCCAGCTGAGAGACGCACACGTGGTGGCTGATGTAACACCCGCCCCTCAACACACCTTGCACCCCGATTAAAGCAGACCGGTCTTGTTTGGAGGAACTGGGGCCCTCGGGAGGTGCAGCGGTTCCAGAAGTGACCGCGCCCCAGACTGCCCGTTGGCCCCGGGCCTCGGAGCGGTGGCCCGGCCGCTACTTAAAGGAGCCGCACCCCCTTTCGGGCCTGCTCACCGCAGGCCACGCCCCTTCGTCATCTCTCTTAAAGGAACCGAGTACCCTGCTCTGTGACAGCCCCCCCGCAAAGCCTGTTCTCTTTCTTAATTGAAACCAGCTTGAGGTTTCAAGCTTGAGGTGACCGCTAAGAGATAAAGGATAAAGACCAAAGAATGGGAACCCAGAGAAGTACCTGGGAGAGTAAAGACGTCCCCAAAATGAGAGGCGAAAGACTAGAGAGCTGGGGTTAAAGGACTGGTTCTAGGGACCAGGGAGATCACTGAGCATGCTCAAGCGTTTTGGGGGACCTAAGATGAAAACGCTGCCTTGCTCGCCCTATGTCCCGAGGGACTACGGCGGTAGAAGAATCACGCCTGTGGCCTGGAAGAGCTCTCAAGTGAGTGGGGGAGTCACACTTGGACATAAACAAGCGTGCTGTACTAGCGATCAACATAGTAATCAGTACACTGCTGTGTTAAGGGCTCCGTGGAAAGGTTGACAGCACCTGTGAAGGTAGAGGAAGGTTTCATTTATACAGGTGAAAATGGGAACAAGAGCGCTTTAAAGAGGGAACCCTTGCCTGAGTAAGGACTGGGAGACAGAGTACCTCTGGGAATGCTGAGTAGGTTTCACGGTGGGCAGGTGGCAGGAAGGGGAGCCAGGAGAAAAGTGCAGATCCTATCCTGCCTGAGTGCTATGGTTGTATTTTCCCCCCTTGGCGGCTTGCTTCAGTAAGAAGCCGGACTGGGCAGTTATTGGTATGGAAGTTAGTGGCAAGGAAACATCTCCTCCCCCAACTGCCCTGCCGTTCCCTCCTTGGCAGTGAATGGGGATTATGCTTCCTTTAACCAAACTGAAGTACTTGAGGTCTGGGGAGATCTGTTGCCTTCAGTCCCTAGTAAGGACTTGGTCCAGATGGACCCTTAAAGTTGGTCCACCTTGGGGGTATCAGATACTGCTCTTATAGGGAACCCCAGGTGGGTTCCCAGGACTCATGTTGGGCAGCTCACAACCACCTTAACTTCAGCTCCAGGGGAGGCCCTCTTTTGTGTTCTACAGGCAACTGCACTCATGTGCACATACCTCAACAGAGACACACGCATAAACATAATTAAAAAATAAAAATAGCCGGGTGTGGTGGCGCACGCCTTTAATCTCAGCACTTGGGAGGCAGAGGCAGGCGGATCTTTTTGAGGTCGAGGGCCTCCTGGTCTACATAGTGAGTTTCCGGACAGCCGGGGGCACAAGGAAAAACTGTCTCCATAAAAAAA